ATATGGTACACATTTATGTGTATATATATATATATATATATATATATATATATATATATATTTACACACACACACATATATGTGTGTGTGTATGTGTATCATATATATATATATATATATATATATATATATACATATATATATGATACACACACACACACATATATATATATTAGGGGTGGGCCGTTATCGGCGTTAACGCGCTGCGGCAAAGCCAGACTCTTATCGCGCGATTAAAAAAATGACGCCGTTAATCTATTCTCAAAGTTGGGTTGGGATCTGCGTCTATACTAAGTAAGCTATGATGGCTTTCACATTGCGCGGATGGATACCCGGTTGGCCCGGATGTATACTCGGCGCGGATCATCGTACTTATGAACGGACGCCAGGCTCGCGGAGTTTAATGTTCCCCATGCAGCCGAACAGTCGCACCTTCGCCACCAGCAGCGCTTCTCCCTTCTCATCGCGCGGGACAAGTAAATAATTTATGTACTTTCACCAGAGTTTAATCCATAAATCCGACTTTCATTCTTTTTATTTTGTTTTGTTTACCTCCGACATTTTCAGCCGGGCTTTCCCCGGGCCACACTTCACCGTCCGCGGCCGAAGCACCGCTCGGATGTAAGAAAACTGAGACAAATTCACCTGTAATAATAAACGTTTTACTCATAAATTTTTATATTTGTTTAGAAAAGTTGAGCTAGGATAACTCCCCTTGCCGTTTTCAGAGACAACAACAGCAACAGTTGGCTTCTGCTCATACAGGTGAGCAGTGGCATCATTTCCAGCTCTCGCTCCAATTCACCAGAGGCGATCCTACATGCAAACTAAAGGGGGGTATTGGAAGGGCACCCCAGAAATTTAACCCACTCCCCAGGCCAGATAGTTTGTGTGTGTGTGTATGTATGTATGTATGTATGTATGTATGTATGTATGTGTGTGTGTGTGTGTGTGTGTGTATATATACTTTTTTCTTTAGCAGGCCATATTGTGCAGAAGAGAAGATCTAGTTTGTCACCAGACAATGTGAACAAGCTGGTCTGCTTGAGTGACTGGTGGAAGAAGGAGAAATAGAGCTTGGACTGATTGACCAAATGCTACTGGCTGTAAATAGTTAATCATGACCTATTCTGTAGACCTACAGTGCAGAATTTGTTGAACTGAATAAACAGCTATTAAACACAAATACTTATTGATCATTATTTATTTTCATCATCAGTTATCGTAGTAAAACTGCTTAATCAGTCTGTGATGCATTATTGAAACAAGAAATACGCCTCCATTCTCAAAGACTTGCTTTTATTTATTATCTAGGTAGCACACACATATGCCTTTGGCAGAATTTGAATGAGCCATTTTAATCTAGATTAATCTAGATTAATTCCAAGATTACAGTGAGATTAATCTAGATTAAAAAAATTAATCTATGCCCACCACTAATATATATATATATATACATATATATATATATTTACACACACACACACACACATATATACATTTATATATATGTGTGTGTGTGTGTGTGTGTGTGTGTGTGTGTGTATTTATATATATATATATGATACTCACACACTTTTTAATGCATGTCTGTAAAAAACGTGTGTGTGGCAGTCCCTTTTATTGTTAACTTTAGAACATGAACAACCTCTGAAATTTTTATTTATTTGTTTATTTAAGTTGTTTATTTTAAGTGTGTAGTTAGTGTTTGATTGTTTGTTAATAACCCATTTTTTATCCACCGATGACATTATTTTCTGACCAGAACTTTTTATATTTTCTGCTGCTGCATGTTAGTAGAGTCCGACATCGTGCTATAGCATTGTTTAACCACACAGCAGCTGTAGCTGACTGCTGACTTACAATCTATCTTTAATCGCAAAGACAGAAGCAGCCAGCGCTTGTTCTCTCAGGTCCAGGTCGGCAGTGCGTGTGCTCAAGAAGGAAAGAGTTTTGCATTTTCCTCCACTTCCTCTCCATTCCCCTCCTTTTCTTTCCCCAGTAGCAGTGACACATTTGTTGGCATAGCGGTGCAGCTTATTCACTGGCTCCGTTAGTGTTTTAGGAAGGCTTTGTAATCTGAGTCGAGTCGTTATCTTTAGCCGAGCGCAGTTCAGCCCAGGCCAGACCAGACATTAACTCATACTTTCACTCTAACTCAAGCAGGAAATGGGAGTATTTTATAATGTCATCCACTCTGTCATGAATACAATCGCTCAGATTTCTCTCTATATAAACCATCACAGGCAACTCTGGTTCAAGGCTCAAGGATATTGATGTTTCTCTCTAGGCAGGAACAACAAAGGAAGAGAAGAGAAATCCATATAGTGTGTGTATCACATCGACACATATGTGTAATTATTTTACATGGCACATGTACAGAGGCAATGGATTAGAAAGACAGTGTGTGAGAGGAGAAGCTTGAACTGTATGTCTGCTAAATTTATCATGAGGCCTTTGGGAGCGTTGAAATGAGAACAGTGGCCTATTACTGCTAAGAAGGTGTTTTATTGAGAATATGCCGACATGCCACCCCAGGGAGAGGAGTGTGGACGTATCACAAACCAGTGTGTGTGTGTGTGTGTGTGTGTGTGTGTGTGTGTGTGTGTGTCCTATGTCACTGCCTTTTTGCCTGAGCTGTCTTGAGCGTGTCAGATAGAAAATAAAAGTTCCCTTTTCTCCAACCTAATTATTCACCATGATATGTATTGGAATTGTCACTTCTGACACTTGAGTCAATAATTTATATAGGTTAGGCCATCTTTACAGAGCTCATTGTGTTAGTTATTAGTAGAGGTGCTGAAAAAAATCGATTCAAGTCTGAATCGGGATTCTTATCAGAATCGATTCGCAAAGGTTCAGAATCGATTCCAAGAACTCAAATATTTGGCATGTTACAGGTTTGAGATGCACTTTTGCGATCTTCGCTAGGAGAGTCAGTACTCCGTGTACTTTTGTGGTCCCATAAATTGAGATGATTTGTGTTTGAATCTGCTGATAAGAGGGCACTTGGATGTAATTTTTTCCATACTCAGAAATTTGAGATATTCTCATATTTATTTTCTAAGTTGATAAGTGAGTACTCAGGATTACTCATGTTACTTGTTTCTACACATACTTGAGAAGTATTTGACCGTATTACTTTCAAAGCTACTGTTAGGTAACTACAGATTAATAAATGTTGCCTTTTGGTCAAAAGATTGTTTCTGTTTACAGTTTTAGAACCACTCTAGTTTACCTTGTAAATTTGCATTTTTGGAGCATGACCGGTTTAAAGTCTAATAAAAATGTCCCGTAGCTTTAACTAACTTGTACAACACAGTAGTTCATCCTGGAGCTGACACTCTTTGTTAATACTGATTGTGAGTCGATTTAAATTGAGAATCGAGAATCGATTCTGAATCGAATCGGCACCCCGAGAATCGGAATCGAATCAAATCGTGAGTTTCTCTAAGATTCACATCCCTAGTTATTAGCCTATGAGAGCAATGGCTTGTTATGCAGGCGCTTTGTTTATTTTACCAGTGTGTTTGCAGGCTGGAAAGCATCCCAGGAACATTCCTTCATCCTTAGCCAGATGTCTATAGCTGCTGATAGGAGTCGTGTTTTAGAGCTCCGTGTTTATTGTCCTGATTATTAACAGAGAGCGGTGTTAATCTCACCCTTAGTCCTCCACTTTTATTGTTACCTTACCTGATTAGCAACTCCCTTCATTTTCTTACACAGCAATGGGCTGCAGAAGGAAGAGTGTGTGTGTGTGCGTGTGCGTGTGCGTGTGCGTGTGAGTGAGTGTGTGTGTGTGTGTGTGTGTGTGTGTGTGTGTGACGGGGGGGGGGGGGGGGGGGGGGGGGGTTCATGCTGCCCTAGTGAGTTCAGTGAGATCTCCAGTAGGTGGCAGGGTCCTGTTTTCTTTTAGCCATTTTTCCCCTCTCTGATTGCACACACACACACACACACACACACACACACACACACACACACACACACACACACACACACACACACACACACACACACACACACACACACACACACACACACACACACACACACACACACACAAGGGGTGCTGAAGAGTTTGATGATATCATGACAGCTAATTGCTCTCATTGGGATGGAGCTGGATGGATTGCCGTGTAGCTGGTGTAATGCTCGCGGTTAACAGAAGAGGTTGAAGCTCTCCTGAAGGCACGGTGCAGGGTAAAAACTGCTGTGGGTCTTTTTCTGACTGGATGCTCTCAACAGGAAGTTAGCTGCAGATCGTAGCGCTTTCTGTGTAAACATCACCTCCGGAGTAAACACTAGGCAAAACACACTGTTCCTATAAACTCTTTATTTATTATAAAGACCCAGCGTGTCTTGGAAAACAAAGTGTTGTTGTTTTTTTCCAGCATTAAAATGTAGTGGCGGCGGCGTAAACAGCAGCAAAAACAAGGCTGATGGTGGGAACACTTCTGTCTTTTTGTGTTAATTCATCTGTTGTTTAATTAAAAGCCTTTTTTCTTTGAACTTCTATTGTTTGAGTGGCACGGCCAGAGTCCCGGCATGGGTCAAAGGGTTAACAGCCGGCAACTGAACTCCCACCCCCCACCCCTTTTTTTTTTTTGTTAAAGGGGCCCCTCACAAAGGCTCGGTTTCACCTGCAGCCCAGCAGTTCCCTTTTGTGTGGCCCCGTTTGAATTGATTATGTTTAGACGGCTGGTTGTGATTGGTGGAGAAGGGCGTGGTTGATTGGATAGTTTTGTATCTTGTCAGCCGGGGAGCAACCTCGCGCATGCAATCTGTCCGTATCCTGAGGAAGGTTGGAGTCTCGGCAGCACGGCACAGCAGAGCCTCCTCTCAGCCTCCCACTCTCTCTCCCTCTCCCTCTCTCTCCTCCTATCACTCACTCGCTCTCTCTCTCTCTCTCTTCCCCTCGCCTCTCCGCTCTGCTTCACTCCGCACCGCGTGGCCCGGCACTCTGTTTACCCTGCCAGCTAAATGGAGTTTGTCAGGTTTGTCAATATGATTGATTTCTATGATTTTGTCAGCTTTCTTGTGTACGGAGGAAAAAAAACACTTGACAATTTAATTTGACCAGGGAAAAGGGAGGAAAGGAGGTTTATTGTCTGCCTGTCGCTGATGTTCTCTCATTGTAATTGGTTATTTTTGTATAAGGCGAGGAGTTCTGCTGGGTTTACTTTGTCATTCAGACTCTGACGGGTTACTGTCCCTCTCTGATTAGAGAAAAACCCGATAAGAGATATTATTACACTTCATCACGTCACGTATCTGGATGCTCTGGCTGTCAAAACACTTCATTAGTTGTTGTTGTTTACTTGTTTACTGAGCTGCTTGCTGACAGAAAGGTGTCTTTTGACTCTTAATCTGTTGTTTTACATTGTGTCTGATCATTTCTATAAAGGTTTCTCAGGCTGTTTCGCACTGTTTGATTAGTTTTATTTACTTTGCTGACGTGAGCTAACCAGTTCAACAGGATCTGGTGCTGTACTCGTGCTGTTTGATTTATGAAAAGTTCTTAGAAAACAGGAAGCAGGTTCCTCTCCGTTTTACCCCGTTTTTAAACAGTGTTTGCTCTCCTGTTCTCACAGTAAAGCCACTCATTTATTTAAATGTATTTGAATTTTTGTTTGGACTTTGTGATGTTTGTATGTTTTTTTAGACTGCTGGTCAGGTTTTCCTGCTCTCAGGCTAACATCTGGACCAGTCTCACTCTCCTGGTGTCAGGGATAACGAGGACAGCTCTATATTTGACACAAACCAAGTTGTCACTCCAGATGTCATCGCTAATGTCTCTGTTGACGAGCGAGTGTGTGTTTGACTTCGTGGGCTTGTGTGTGTCGTCTATAATAATTACAACAGGGGTATTTTAGGTGACATTATCTTATTTGGCGCTGACTTTTCTTGCTTTTTGTTTAATAGCGTAAAGTATTTTTGTTGGTGACAAAAACTTGTTCATTTATCTGTTTGCAACATTTCTTCTCCTTGCATCAGTGATTAAAGAGAGGTGCAGCAGCCGGTCGGATGGATGTAGATGAGCAGAGCGGAGCCGAGGCGGCGTGCGCCGTAATGCCGTACAGCTGTGCAGCTGAGGCTCGCAGTTCGGGAGAGCTGGAGTGCGAGCTGATTGGGTTGACAGTTTGTAATCAAAGCTGATTTATTGTTCATTAGTAGTGCATTAGCCCTTTCAGGCAGGAACCGTATTTGTGCAGTGGCCTGTCTAGGCGAGGGGCTGCCAGCACCTGTCATTTCTAAACATTGACATAGGCAAGCAGATATTAGCTGTGTACCCACAGAGGGGTGGGGGGTAGCCCGCAGAGCCTTTGGCTGGGATGTCCTCTGCAGGGACGCTGGGGCAGCAGGAATGGTTCTGATACAGTGGTCGGTCCCACCGACCTGAACCTGTTTTTACCTGAAAGTGACTCGTGCTCTTTTCCATTAAGAGGTCGTGAGAGTGTGTGTTTCAGACAGCAAGATTGCCTCCACACTTCAGATGGCACGTGTTTGTAAAGGCGGAGATGTTGAGATGACGGTGAGATTACACGGCGTGGTGGAAAAGGGGTTTCCATCACCGGTCTTAGTCACAGCGCAGGTTATGGACAGGTTGCTCTGAGAAAGTGAGGGAGGATTATGGAAACCGGCTGCTGACACAGACAGGTTAGCGATGCAGTTTACATGAATCACATAACACAAACATTAGAAGAGTCAAGGAGCAACAGAGAACTTGTGTCCCTCTTGTCTGCCGTCATGGAAACAGGGATTAGCTTTGTGTTTCTGTTGTGGAGAGAATAGAAACTATCTGGCTGGGGACGTGTCAGCCGTTGTCTTTCCTCTAGTTTCATTTAAAAGGGGGATTTTGGAGGCTGTGATCTTAATTAAATCTCAAATGACGCCTGTGAAAACGCTGATGCCGCTGCCAGCGGGTGAGCGGCCACGCAGATTACACCTTCAGTGATCCTGAGACGCCGTCCAGAAAAGGTGAAGGCAACGAACGCCGGTGTGTGGCAGAGCAGTCGTTTGTGAACTCGCTGTGAAAGACGTTAGCGGAGGTCCAGGACAGAAAGGCTTCTGTCACTTTTTAAATTCTCTAAAGGATGTAAGACGGCTACTTTTATATCATGGCTGGAATGTTTTCTCTTTAATTACAGTAAAATACAAATGTTTCCTCCTCTTAAGCCTCGTTAGTCAGAGTGCTGTGGGTGCGTTTGTATCCGCGTGTGTGTGTGCGTGTGTATTTGCATGTGTGTGAGTTTGTGTGTGCGAGCGCATGTGTGTGTGTGTGCATATGCATGTGTGTGTTTGTGTGTATTGTGTTTGTATGCATTTCATCTCGTGTGTGCGTACATGTGTGTACAGGTGTGTGTGTATATGCATGTGTGTTTTCGTGCATGTGTGTGTGCGTGTGTGTGTGTATGTGCATGTGTGTTTTCGTGCATGTGTGTGTGCGTGAGTGTGTGTATATGCATGTGTGTTTTCGTGTGTGTGTGTGTGTGTGTGTGTGTGTGTGTGAGTGTGTGTGTGTATATGCATGTGTGTTTTCGTGCATGTGTGTGTGTGCGTGTGTGTATGTATGTGCATGTGTGTTTTCGTGCGTGTGTGTGTGCGTGAGTGTGTGTGCTGTCCCTCAGCAGTGCTCACCTGCAGCGCCGGCTGCCTCTGCTGTGGGAAACAGCGTCCAGGTCTGAGCTCAGCTGTTATCGTTGGGGTGAGCGCGTCGCTCGCATCTCTGTTACGTTTGTTAGTTTAAACCCGACTCGGGGTCGCGCTCCGGCAAAAACCTGTTTGTTTGTAATCCACGACTTAATTAAAATGTAATTTTAACTTTTGTTTTTACAGTTGCGGCAGATAATTTGCCTGCATGCACTCCAAATCCAGAGTCTGGTGTGTGAGCTACAAATGTGGCTGTGATTAGCCTGTTTATGTTCGCTGTAAATATTTTTAAAACAGCTTGATTGTGGATGATCAGAACGGAATTACAGCAGCTTAAAGAAGTGTGGGATTAAAGGCTGTAAATGGATGGATCATTTTAATGATCCTGTTTGGAAACATGTTAATATTTCTGTTATTATTAGATGTAAAAGCTGTTAACGTGAATACATGGCTTCGTTTTTCCGAGGGAGGAAAATGCTCTCCACTTGAGAGATTTCAATCAACCTGAATGGATAACGTGGAATTAGTCCTTCCGGTCTCATGAGCGCCTAATTATGTTCACACATCACTTAAATACAATGGCTCCCGTGAAATCATCATTTCTGCAGCGTTTTCATGCAGGAGATCATAGTCGGGATGGGAAGTGGTTTCCTTGCGCCCTGGTAGGCCAAGGTGAAATAAAAAGCATCAAACGGACCAGGAGCGGTGATTTCTCCTGGGCTTTTTTTTCTTTCTTTTTACTTCTTCATTCCATTTGATGCCCCCCCAAAAAAAACAACACTACCCCAGGGAGCAGAAATGAAAATTTGATAATTCCCTTTATTCTTTTTTCCTCCGTCAGCCCTGCTGCATCTCTCCAGCCTGTGAAGGGGTGAGATTCACCTCCCCGTGTCTTCCTCCTAACCGTCCAGCTGCGAGCACCGCGACTCGTCGTCACTCGCTTTGCACCAGGATTCTGACTTGTGATGGTCTAGAGTCGTCTTCGTTAACACTGAATCAAAGACTCCTGACATGTTCAGATGGAAAAAGTGTGTTTTCTTAATCCCGCTGTAATATTTAGCGTTTTTTCTTTGGGTCAAGTAGAAGCTGCAGGTGTGTAAATGATAAGTGCGCATCCGGAGCCGGTGTAGAAAACAGAAGGATTTAATCTGGGATTATTGTTGTTTTAAGTAGAAATAATTAAAAAAAGTTTTAAATTTATTTAATAATCCGAGTATAAAATGATTTAGCTCCATGTCTGCAGCACGGTACGGGCTGTGACTTCTGACATGCTACAGTTTAGTGTGTGTGTGTGTGTGTGTGTGTGTGTGTGTGTGTGTGTGTGTGTGTGTGTGTGTGTGTGTGTGTGTGTGTGTGTGTGTGTGTGTGTGTGTGTGTGTGTGTGTGTGTGTGTGTGTGTGTGTGTGTGTGTGTGTGTGTTCGGCCAGCAGGCCTGTGCTGGTACAGGATTTTGCCTGCAGTCACGCTGCAGCTGTGTGAGAACGTTCCAGGTTTGGATGTTTATGTACGCGAAGGCACCTGGAGAGCACCACACCTTCATGAAATTCATAAACGTCAGCTATTTCTGGCATCCTCACAATGTCCTCTTTTTCACACCCTCACATCAGGAGAGCAAATTAGAGCTGAGCTTAGTGGATCCCTCCAGTTATTAGCCCGCTCCGAGTCCCGTTTCAGACTATTTTTAGATGGTGATGTATTCCTGTGGATCGTCTGGAGTCATGATGTTATCCAGGAGATACGGCGGGGCATCATACGGGAGTGCTCTAAATGGCGACAGGCGGTCCTGTGTTAGCGTTAAATTAGTGCGATGTGGCGGCCGAGTAATATTTTTCAGTTACGGTGCTCCTCCCGCCCCTCCACTCAACAGGAGCCTGTTTTAGTCAGATTTTCACTCCTCCTGCCCAGGATTAAATGTAGTAGTTACACTGATCAATAGGTGAAGAAGCACACAATCCCTCTTGCAGCTAATGACCTCAGTAGTAATGGGTAATAAAAGGAGGGTCTGTAATAGGCTCTTGCTGTAGTTACAGAGCGCCAGATGCTCCTGACTGGACACCGTGTAAAACCCTGATGGGATGCATCGTCTAGTGAAAAAGTCTAACCTATTGATCCTCTGTTAGGATCTAAACCAGTGTGTTAAATAAAAGTTTGCTCTCCTGCGCTGTGTGGTAAAAAGAGAGATCGTAAGCTGCAAAGTGAGACGAATGCAGAGCATTTACAGGGCAGCAGAAAATAGACGCCGTGGATTCAAACGTGCACTAAAGGACTCCCACAGGTATTATTTATCTTCTCTGTGCACGGTATGTTTAGATGTGGACTATATGCGCCAGCACAAGGACGACCTTCAGAATAGTTCATCAAAATTAGTGATTCCTGTCAAATAAAATCATTTTTAAGAGCCTTTAGAGATGGGGACGGGAGGCCGGGGCTTTGCAAACGACAGGACGCGTCAGTGCAAAAGCAAAGATGAGCCGCGTATTAACACAAGAGGTAATTAGTATTGCGTTCTGCTCCCCGCGCCCCTTCCCCTTGGTGCTGGAAATGAGAAACGTGGAGCCGGTCCTGAGTCCTGAGCCTCCTTCGTTCTCCTGTGGTTGAAAGTGAAGTTAAAGGAGAGCATCAAAGCTGCTCCGTCCTGCTCGGTAGTCCTGCCCGTTCACTACGAGCTGCTCGTTACAGCCGAGCTTTGTTTTTGTTTAATGCTGCAGCGGAAAAATGACTAAGGTTATGTGCATGAAGGGTGTGTGTGGGTGTGTGGGTGTGTGTGTGTGTGTGTGTGTGTGTGTGTGTGTGTGCGGGTGTGTGTTTGTGTGTGTGTGTGGGGGGGGGGTCTTAAACCGCTAAATTACATTCAGAAATGCATGAAAAACTCAAATGCTGTCATTAGCTCTGAAATGGTCGTATAGTTGTTGAAGATGAGCTGTCACGTTATGTCTCCTCTATCAGCGTGTGACAGCCCACACACACACACACTTTATACTCATTTATGTCCTCTCTGATGTGTGTTTTTGTTACTGCACAGATTCATTGACACAACAAGTAACCAGCAGCGTCTAAAAGTTGCAGTTTGTCACACAAACGCCGAGGAAAGCAGCTTTTAGTGGCGCTGCACATCAGCACAGTGAGTGGCAGCATCCAGACGCAGCGACTCCCACGCGTCGCCGGAGCAATTAAAGCACACTGACAACTACGGGCCCCTCTCAGTGTCACCACAAATCAGTCGTTCGGAGGAGCCGTGCACTCACACCTTTCTGCGAGAGTTAGTTAGAGGCCTGTGTGTTCTTCAGCCTGACTCCTCCTCCTCGGGCTCTCTCTAGATCCTCACAACAGCAGATCGCTGCTGACAGCATCTCTAATGAGATGTTCTTACAGGACCTATGTGTAGCCATGTCCTCAGGTTTGACACGTTCCATACCAACAACAGGATGGGAGGGACGTTAGCAGCGAGTCTGGAGGTTTAGGTGTTTCCGGTTCATCCACTGGTCTGGGTCTCGTAGAGGGGATCCAGTCGCCTCAGCCGGAGTCTCACTGGGAGACTCTCAAGAGCGTTTCCAAAATGTTTAGCAGGAGTTTTCCTCTCCTCGCGTCTGTGCGAGCGGTCGTTGCAGGCGTCTGGTTCCTGATGCGTCGGATCATTCTGAGAGACTAAATAGTGAGAAGAACAATTTCACAACATTCATGTAAAATCTGCTCTAATGGCGGAAATTGTTTCTAGTTCAGTCTGATTTGCATATTTTCTCTCAGTTCTGTGTCTCTCTGTGTGTTTACTGTTTAGTTAATAGAATTAGAGATTATATTGTTTACTCCTGATGAATTTAATTTACTAAACTTATTTTTTACAACGTTTAAGCTTTCAGAAAACTAAAGTTTTGTTTCTGTTAATAAATCTTGACGGTGTCTGCCTAACGCTGCGAAACCTGTGTTTGGACCAGGTTCCAGTGTCAGTGGCTATGATGACACCGCAGGTGATAACTCCACAGCAAATGCAGCAGATCCTCCAGCAGCAGGTCCTGAGCCCTCAGCAGCTCCAGGTTCTCCTCCAGCAGCAGCAGGCCCTCATGTTACAGCAGGTAACGTGCAGCAGTCGCGCCGTCAGCGCGCTTACGCTTTTTCCAGAGGTGAATATCACGTTTCAAACGCTCTGCAAATCCTCCGGGATGAAAGTACTTTGAACTGCCGTTCTGAGGTTTCTAAGCCTCGGAGAAGTTCCCACACACATGGCTGCCGAGGATCTGCCACTGTCAAACTCCCAACTCATTTGTCACCTTCTTGTCTCTTCTGCAGCAGCAACTTCAAGAGTTCTACAAGAAGCAGCAGGAAACGCTCCACCTCCAGCTCCTCCAGCAGCAGCAGCAGCATGCAGGCAGCAAGCAGAGTAAAGAGGTAGGCTGACATCACTCCCACCGCCAACGTCGGCCAGACTCGGCGCGCTCCCTCCCTCAGCTCCATCTGCTTTCAGGCTGTGGTTAAAGCACGGGCTGGGGTGGGGTGGGATGGTGAGGGGGTGATCAAGTGCACTCGTGTTTCTGATTAGCATGTCAGACCTGCTGGCTAAATGTTAGCTACTGACTGATACCACTCTATAAAGAAGACCGTAATGTTTCTGCCATGTTTACCGCGTGATGTGTTTTTGGTAATGAAGAGCAGAACGTCGGAGAGGAGGCGGCAAAGACACCGGCGCACGAGTCTGAGAGGCTTTTCTTGGTGATTAACATGGAAGTAGCAGAGGAAACCGAGGCGTGTAATTGTGAGATATCAGCGCAGAGAGCACTCCCAGCTTTGTTGCCCGCCTCTCTTTCCGTCTTGATTTTTCCTGCTCGGCTCCCCTCAGCACAGCGGGGCTCGCTCATAGGCGGCGGCTTAATGCGTGTTAATGACGGGCGGATACAGGCGTCGCTGCGGACAAAGCAAATCGCTACTGCACGGCCAGGACAAGTTCAAAGACTAGCTGTGGATTTTTTTTGCTCCCGTCCCCGTTGAGTTCCATGTTTGGAGAGTAAAGAAGGGCACGGGGAAATTAAGCTGAACGTTAAAAGCAGGCGCACGCGCCCCTCCGCTCACGCACACGGTCCAAACGCACAACTTCAAAGTTAGAGCTCCCTAATTAATGAAGCGCGGGCTTCAGCTTGGACAAGTTGTGGCGTGATGCTCCCATAAATCAACGTGACAGCAGAGCTCCTCTGCCTCAGATAGGGCCTGTCACCGAGTCGCATCTGATGCAGACGGGGTGGGGGCGGGGGGGCATTGATCAGTTGCATGAGAATAAAAGAGGCAGAAAAGGTACTTTTTAAGCACATTATGTATGATCACAGGAAGTAGATGCAGCCTCAAGAGGCTCTCCCCTTCTGCTGCAGTTCTCTCTCTCTCTCTCCCCGTCGCGCGCTCTCCTTTTCACTTTCCAGCAGCCATCAAAAGACAGAATAAGAATGATGCAGCGACTCCCCTGTGGCTGCCAGACAATAACCCCCTGTTGTTGCTTTGTGCCTCTTTTATTTTAAAGACATCAAAATTTAGTTTTTCAAAGATCTTTAACTTTATATGTGAAGCTCAACAATAAAGGCCTGCCACTGCCACTCTCATCATCTGTCAGGAGCTGTATTTTTCTCTCCCTTGTGCCACTTCTTGTTAACCTCTTATTTGGTCTATTGGGTCTGGGGGGGGGTGGTTAATGCGTGTGCATGCTGGGAGCGCACAGGAGCCGCTGTCAGCTGACGGAACGACGAGGGGGAAAGCCGCGAAGGGGAGAGGGTTAAATTCATGTAGCAGTGCCGGGGTTTCTTTCTTCTTTACTTTTCTTTTTTTTCTGAAAAGCCACCCTCTATTTATTTAGCGTTTTGATGAAAGACATTGTTCCTTGTGATCTCCCGCCCCCGTAGCACCATTATCTTTATCTGAGGCTGTCAGGGAGGAGCTGGGGAACAAAGAACTACTAAAGACACGAGAAACTTCTCTCACAGCCACGCCAAGTAGAAAAGAAGCAACCAGCTTCCAGAGACAGGAGAGATCAGAGGATCCCAGGCCACCTTCAAACCCTTCTCCCTCCTTGTTTGGAGCTGCGTCTCACAACAAATCCGGAATGAATCCAGCCACGGTTCGGCGCTGACCCTCGGCCGCCCTCCCCCGATTGATCCGATGAGATGAGCTGTAATGGAGCCGCTCTGCCCAGAGCTTTATTTTTAGTCGGCGCAGGAGCAGAAGGCTGAGTGTGGGTGAGAAGGGAGGTAGAGGAAGGGAGAGGAGCGCCGCTGGAGCCTTTTGACATGCCAAACAGGGGTTAGCAGAGGGGGGGAGGACCCATTTTATCTGACTGCTTCAGGACCGCCAGCGAGTGACCTGACTGCCACGCTGCACCCAGACCTTTTTTGAATGCCCTCGATTGTGAGAAGTAAACAAAGTGGTGTATCCTGTGTTTGGTAAAAGGGCGCGGTGCACACTTGGCAGCCCCTGCAATGCTTTTAGTGCCCCGTCCTCTCCTCCTCCAGCCTGACAACTGGCCTTGTGTACTCATAAACACAGCCAGCATCCTGTTGAGGCTCCGCCAGCCTTGTTTTGTCTTCATCAGTCAGAAAACACCGAATATTTTTCTGCTCTTTTAAGTGTCATTGTGGGATTGATGAGCAGGTGAAAGGGTCATCCATCTCGCCCCTCGGTGCCCCCGTTATCTAAACACAATCTCATTTGTTTTCACACACAGGACATTGGGGATATTAGATAATTTCCTTCTATTTATTATTCTATCTTGCCTTTTTCATTCCCCTCCTCTCTCTTTTCAAATCACATTTTTAAACCATGAAAGCGTTTTGGAGCAAAACAGCCCCCCCCCCCCCCCCCCCCCCCCCCCAACCCAAAGTGTTGGGGATGACACGCCAGATTTAGTGAAACAGCTGTAGCGCAGCGAGCCGCAGCGAGCGGCGATCTCTCCGGCGTGTGATTGAACACAGCTTGCAGCGCTGGCTGGGGGGGGGGGGGCGTGCATCCCCGAGCTCAGCGCCATGCCTAGGAGAGTTGGGACTTTCTAGGGTGGTTATTAAGCACTTTGATTCAGTCACACGTTGTTTGCTGAATTATGAATGGCTGTAATTAAATTCCTGTGGCTCTTATTATGAATGATTAACTATGTTGTTTCGTTGTTTGTCGTTTACCTCCCGACTGGTGTTAATTAACAGGGAGAGGCAGAGACGTGCAGTCTACCTGTCTTAAGGCGGCTCGCACAAACCCTCACTTAAGGTGGAATTCATGGAAGTTGCGTTGCTTCACTGTGTGCATTTGCATCAAAACAGAATATCCTTTATTTTAAGGCTCAGGATTGTAGTTTCAAATCTAACATTCAGCTGTGTGTGTGTGTGTGTGTTTGTGCGTGTGCGTGTGTGTGTGTGTGCGTGTGTGTGCGTGTGTGTGTGTGCGTGCATCACCAGCAGCAGGTTTCAGCCCAGCAGTTGGCCTTCCAGCTTCAGGTCCAGCAGGTACAGCAGGTCCAGCAGCAACACCTGCTCAACCTTCAGAGACAAGGGCTTCTCACCATCCAGCCAGGACAGGCCGGCCTGCCGCTGCACTCCCTCACTCAGGGTCAGTACCTCGCACCGGCCTGCAGAACTCACATCCATAACTCCCCTCGAGCAGGGCTCGACACGTTTCAGCCTCTGAAAAGCCCTGGCTAAGTCGTGTGACACATTTTATCACTGCTGCTTTTAATACCTTGTATTAAGATCCCTGAGGTCCAGTGACCAAGGCCTACTGGTTGTGCAGCACCAGGCTAAAGACCAAAGGTGACAGATCATTTGCTGCTGTGGCCCCCAGACTCTGGAACTCTCTCCCCCTGAGCCTGAGATCAGTGGACTCAGTGGTCTCCTTTAACTCGTTCGCTGCCAGCGTTTCTCGCCGTTTTTACTGTGTTTTTAAGAGTGACAGAACGTTGCGCGTTAGGATGATGTCGACGCCGAAACAACCAAAACAAAGAGTAGACTCACCTCTTACATGAGGAAGAATCCGCGTGTAGCGAGCGTTATCCGTTCTTTCATAATCCGTTGTTGAATTGTGATCGGCAGAAGCTTTTCCGGTTCGCGCCTCACTTTTTTTTACAGCAGCGGCCCAAAACGATCTCCTAACACATGGATTTTCTGCTTCCTGATCACGTGACGTATGCGGACGAAGATCGGCTTCAGAGCTGAGATGTTTGTTCTCTCAGAGCGGGGGCTCATTCCGATGTCCACGCCATGTGTGTGTTATCTTTTCTTTGACAGTGAAATGAGCTGCTACCTATAATTTTCTGGAGATCAGTTGTTTATCAGGAGCCTGAACCAGTGAACCAGAGATTTAAGTTTCCTTTATTCTAATTCTGTTTGTGTCACCGAAGATTTGCTCTGCTGCTGGGTAGAACATGACTTCTGCCTTCATGACAAAAGCGACTCTAGAGGTCTGTAAAGACTTTAATCTGCGCCATTTAAAGATATAAAATAAAAATCTGTACATTAGATTTTCTGCTGATCTTCTGACTGAAACTATGCAGCTTAACTCATTCGCTGCCAGCGTTTCTCACCGTTTTTACTGTTTTTTTAAGAGTCACAGAACGTTGCGCGTTAGCATGATGTCGATGCCAAAACAACCAAAACAAAGAGGAGACTCACCTCTTACATCAGGAAGAGTCCGCGTGTTTCGAGCGTTATCCGTTCTTTCATAATCCGTTATCGAATTGTGATCGGCAGACGCATTTCTGGTTTGCGCCTCACTTTTTTTACAGGAACGGCCCAAAACGATCTCCAAACACATGGATGTGTTGCTTCCTGATCATGTGATCTGTGACGTATGCGGATGAAGATCGGCTTCAGGGCTGAGAAGTTTGTTCTCTCACTTTAGTCGTCATTGGCAGTGAATGAGTTAAGATAAACCAAACAGCATTCGTTATACAGCTTTAAACACTTAGCTGAAACACAACGTTCCGCTCTGTAGCGAGTCTGTGACGCGCAGGTGGACGAGCCGCCACTGGTGCTTCCTTTCTGTGGAAATTTGCTCAACAAAGAGAACAATGCATGACTTCTGTGTGTAGTCACAAGCTGTCTGTGTTTCAGGGACTCGGGACACAGCGAAGCTTTAGTTAGCTAGCAGCTAATTTACTCTACTGCATGTTAGATACTCTACAAAACCGTGTGTGTGTGTGTGTGTGTGTGTGTGTGTGGCTGACATCCCAGCAGCATTCTCCTCTAGCCTGGAAGGAGACTGTATCTATTGTTGCTAAACTGCCGGTGAACTTGTCTTTGTGACGCCGCCTGTTACTGGATAGGCAGCCCGCTCTGTTTGGCCAAGAAGTTTATTTCTTTATTTACCCTCTGATGTTTTGTGAAGGAGTGGCCTCCTTGTGACAAAGACGCCGTCATAAGGGTTTAAGAGCATGACATTGACCATTCATTCCCAGCTAAAACAAACAGTTTTGAAATAACAAGATAAAAACAGGAGGGTTGGGGGTGCAGCTCTTGGGTAATACGCAAACACAAACAGAGTTTGTACAGTGCTGTTATTGTTTGGACTGGCTGTGAAATCAGTCATCCGCCTGCAGATGATTGCTATGGGCAGAGGCGTGGGGCGCTGCTGTTGTGTGTGTGTGTGTGTCTGACAAGCACACCCCGTGAGTAAAGCATTATAAGAGCGATAAGGCCAGGTACTTTTGATGGATTTCACAACAGGCTCAGAACATCCTGTTTATTCAGGATTAGCATCCGATTCCCCCGAGACGCCTCGTTTTACCGTCCTTTTACTACTTCTTACCGCAGGTTAGCGGTTTAGCTGCAGGCGCTCTAAGACTCACTGTGACGGTTCAAATCTGGAAAAGGGCTGTGAGCTCTCTGAACCACCTCAGTTAGGAGATGTTCTCTATCCTCATAATATTCTGTTTACATCATAAATCACACGTTATCCCTCAACTCCATGCTTGTTCTGAAATATGAAACAATAGTAAATATTAACAGGTCTGAAAACTGAGCTGTTAGTATAATGACAGCAGTGTCAACTTAAAGAGCAAGTCACCCCTAAATAAACTTTTTTTTGCTGATAAACTAAATAAACGAGTGTCTAATCGTGATGCAGACACGTGTCGTCAATAATTTGGCACTTCAGTGCATCTTAGTTAAAATTTAAATATTCTGCCTAAAACTAACAGTGTTGTGCCGTTGTCAGGTAAAAACTCTGCACTGTATTTTAATTTAAATCTGCCACCGCTATTGGCTAAGAAGTATGCTATGATGTAAACTGGTACATTATGATGTCACAATGCTGTCGTGAGCCTGAGTGTGTGTGTATTTGTTAGCGGCTCCGCCCTCTCAGTCTGCCAGGCAACAGCATGTGTTGCATTTTTCAAACATGAAGCGGGAGTGGAGTTAGACTCTGGTAGGGGTTGACTTGCTCTTTAAGACTTCTCTAACCTCACGGGCGTTGTTAGTTTTATTGCCCTGACTGTGGCTCCCCTCTATAACGGTTACATGAAAATGGACTGAAGACATTCCTTCAGTTTCTTGATCATTCTGAAGGAATGATCATTAAATATGTCGTCTGTGGCATGACAAAGATTTTAAGACCATTTCATAGCGGCCCTGTTGAGACCAGATCTGATATAATCTATTCTTCTCCAAACTGAGGCTCTTCAAAGGGCTACGACGGGTACCATATTAGGTCATCAGAGCACAACAAATAACTCGAGCCGCTCCTCTAACGTCTTCAGGAGTTAAACAGAAAAACAAAACATGAAGATAGTTTTAAACTGTTTGGAGCCTTTTTAAGGTGAAAGAAATCTCCCGTTGCTTCTGTAATCGAACCAAACGACAGGTTTACTCTCTCCGGGATCACGTTTGTAGGTGTTTTATTGTGGTGGTGACACGTAAACCTGGTTAGTTAACCCGACAGCTGTTACAGCACTCAGGTTAGAGCTCCAGGCCCCTGCTCTGTCCTCTTATCCTACACATTTTCTGCTCGACTGTTTGAAGTTATTGATGACCTTTCTGCTTTCCACATCACTAAACTCTTTCATGCATCAGCGGGCCGGGCCCCGTGGTGCTCAGATCTAATCTGCAATATTCAGCTTGCTGTTGGTCAGAAGTGATGAGCCGATCTGCTCCGTTTGCGTCTCACTGATCGTGGACTCGAACTTGGGAGCAGTAAATCGCTGTGACTTTTTAGCTGATGATTTTATTCCTCCCATTTAAAACATGTAGATATCAGTACAATTATTGGAAAAGGCCACTGTTAATGCATGCAATCAGCTGTGTCCAGTTTTTATGGGCTGAGAAAATGAAAGCAACAGAAAGGCCTCCAATAACAGAAAAGTAATCATCAAACCAGGGGTGTTTGTTCTGCTGTTTACAGCTCGGATTTGCACCAGCCTCTCGCCTTGTTGCTAGCCTGGCCAAGACAAATTACAGCCATCGTTCTGCCGAAGCCACAGCTGAAGGAATGCGTTTAAATGAGCTTTTCAGAAACATTGATAGCACTAATCAAGTATAAACTCCTAGATAGCAGCTTTGAATGAAGAACAATTGCTCACGCTAGCCGGCGTGTAATTCGTCTCTCTTGTTGTAAATTCCTTTGACATTAATGTTCAAAGTCTTGGAGGCAGCCAGCCGGTATCTGTTATAAATTACAACAATGTGTTTGGGGAGGATGTAGCGCTCATAAATATGAATACGATCCAAACAGCACAGAAAAACCTTTCGTCCTCCTGACCTGATAGTTGAGTCAGCGGCTGCTCGAGCTCACGCTGCTCAGGTGTGTGTGTGTGTGTGTGCACATGCACCCTGACCCTTGGAGGTTACCCAGAAAGAGAGTGAGTTCCTCTAGCTGTACAACATCATTTAAGTTGTCTGAGAGGCCAGTGGGACAGTGACAAGACAGATCTGTGTGTAACGTGAAGGCAGAGGAAGTGGTGAGCCAGGAAGTGCTCACAGAGCAGCGGCACATCAGGGCCAGCGGTGGGTGAGGCGGCTGACCTGTCAGTGATTGATACGTGCAGCGGTGGACGGCTGGTAATAGTTCCTGCGGCATTTGGACAGGACATATTTCAGACCTAAGGGGTGCGTATCAGCAGGCCGGTGATTACGGCAACACAAACAGGGGTGCAGTAAAGGTCCCAGTCTGATGGAACAATAAACTAATAGCGATGTCACTGTCCCCCCACGGTACCGGCTCCGTGTGTGAAAAGTAACAGCGCGGTTTAAAGAGCCCGGAGCACTGGGGGCCATTTTTTATTTGGGGGGATGATGGCCGGCAACTGATGTCATTATGAACGTTAAATCAACTTTCTGCTTGCTTGAACATGGTCACCTGGGTACGCGGGGACAAGGACAGGAAAAGGTTGAAGAGCTCGGCCTGTCTCGGTGCCAGAGCTACCTGCAGAGGTAAAATTGAGTTGTGAGGCCGGTGATCAATCAAGTGTCCCAACAACATGCATTTTTTAAAGTGCTCGTCCGTGTTTCCCCGTCATAATGAGAGGAATAGTTGTGTTGAAAAATGGAAAGAGGAAAGATAAACCAATCTGGCATTTAAAGGATGGACAGGCCGAGCAGCTAAGAAAAGGATTTTACACATCAATGTCATTACGTGTCCCGCAGTCATCAGATGGAAAGGAACTCAGTCCAGACACAAAATGTGATCCCCAGCGAGACATTTGTGTAATAATATTTTATTGTCATTTATGAGGAATCATGAGGCGTAGCTGTTGCTAGGTTTGAAGAGGTTAGGGGTCAGGGTGGAGTCGCGAGGGCGGAGGTGCAAACAAAAAGCAATAAAACCCTGAGCGGATTGAGAAAGAGACATGCTCCGTTACCCCTCTCATCATACCAGTCAATCCGCCTCGGTTTCATCTGAGCAAACAGAGGGGTTGGGGTCACCTGGACTGCTGGGTAATTGAGCCAGTGTGGGCTGCCCTGTCAAGCAAACTGGCTAAAAATACATCACCCACTGTCACTGAGCAATAAGTGGGGGGAAAACGATTGTTGCCGCTGTCGGAGTGCTGGACACTCACATCTGCATTGACCTTCTCCTTCCAAACCGTCTGAAGAAGAAAAGAGAAAAGCTTCAAAGCTTCCTGCAAAACAATACGAGCACCGTTCAAAACGCGGCTAGGAATCAACAAGCATCGGATTAGCATGCTGTATCACAGACAGCAACATTAAGCATGTTTAGCCTGTCACGGACGTGCGCTTCGATTAGGACACATCAAGGCATGGAGGAGAGCGGGGGTGAATCCAGGCAGACAGTACAGAGCCGGCGTGTGAAGATATCCCAATGAGGAAAGACGCTCCTTGGAACGTGGAAAGGTTATTGATTCGTCCTGCAATCATTTCCTGCTCTTTGATATGCAAACGATCTGGTGTGAATTTACAGCAGTCCAATCAGACTCATTTCACAGTTCTTAGCCTCTGCATCTCTCTGGAGTCCTCCGCCTCATTAGGCCAATGTTCTCTATTACCAGCATAATTAAAATCTTTAGTAGCTTATCAAATTAGAAATATTTTTGCTGATCGTATTGAGATCTTCACCTCACAGTTATTTTCCTCAACAGGAATAAATTAGGACTAAGCATTTTGCACAGAGTGGATTAGAATCTGGTGCTTGAAAGGAACTCTACTGGGATCTATGGTGCTGGTGGTGGGGGGGGTCCACAAGCCCAACCAGATAAACACACACAAATAATCTTTCATTTGCCAGAACTCAGTTTCAGGATGTGTTTAATTAGTTGTAACACTAAACAAATGTTCTTTTCCAGTTTTTCTATCTCACCATCCTTCAAATTTCTGGTGTGTTTGAATCCCCGTACAGATGAATGCTACGTTTGGTTAGCAGGCAGCTAAAGTCGGGCTTTCACATGCGCTTCGTTTTCTCTGAAAATACAGAAAGCACCAAATCTCAAGCTTGAGTTTTCATCTTTTTATCCTCATATGTGTCCCATGAAAGCAGACCTCTCAGGCTCTAAAACAGACACACCATAGATGGAGACATCTCCGGTGTGTCCATCTGAGTCTCTGCTTCTCAGACGGGGAAAGTGGGGTGCATAAACACGGCATTATCCCTCTCAATCCCAAGTCTGGGCCCGAGTGTCGGCTGTTACTTATGGCGTAAACACACACACACCACACACACACACTCAAAAAATGTCTCATGTCTTGAAGGGATTTTTTTCAAAGACCTATGAGAGCTGCAGTGTGCTTGACTCGTTAAATGAGGTTTAAGTCGTCTGTGTCAATTGGAGGCGGTGCACATTAATGCGCTTTGGAGAATATTACCCTGGGGTCCTGTTTCTCAAGGAGACGAGGGTGGGATGTTTTCTACTGCCGCCATTGTAAACTTTTGGTTGTGTGCGTTCTGCTCAGCTGAGTTGTCGGGAGAAAGCGATGGTGATTATTCTGATTTCATGCCTTGTCTGGATGTTAATTGTTTACTGTGGGCATGAAATTAGCATGAATGCCAGGGATCCGTGTGTACAAACATGCTTCAGATCACAGGAACGAGTGGGAGGGGGAGAGTCGGGGGTAGAGATCTCTGTAGTGGAGTGTTGTCTAATTAATACTCAGCTTTGTTTACAGACGTTTTGATTTAATTAGGTGATGAAGAAGACAGTTGGATTAGCTGTTAATTGATTTAATTATCCAATTTGTTTGTCTCAGGCATGATTCCAGCAGAGCTGCAACAACTGTGGAAGGAGGTGACGAACACGCACGTGAAGGAGGAGCACAATAGCAACAACAGCAGCAGCAACAATGGCCACCGGGGCCTGGACCTGTCCTCCCCGGCGACGCCAAAGAACCCAGTCATTAACCAGCACGCCTCCACCAACGGCCAGTACATGAGCCACAAAAGAGAAGGGTGAGCCCACTGTTCATAAGCTCTATTTCACATTTTATGTGTCGATAGAACGAACAGAAGACTCCAACAGGGCTCACATTTAAATTTAAACTGTTTCATTAAGTTATAAGTAGGGCTGGGGCGATATATCGATATTTTTAAAATATCGGTATAATTTTCAAACAAGATATAAGATGACTTTATATCTTTATATCGATAAAACTGGTCAAACTGCTATACTAGCAATTAGCCGCTATGCTAGCGACATGTTGCTCCGTCTCTAAGTGGTCATTACATGTATTCTCACAAGTTTGCTCAATCTGAGAGCCTCTGGGTAAATGTGCTGCTCTAAACTTTGCATTTGGCATTCTGGTTTCTAATTATTTGGGGACGTTCAACTCCAATGGAGTTCTGTTTTCCATCCTGCTTGTGCGGAGAGACAAGCCAAACCCCTCCCTCCGCTGTGTAATCAGAAAACATCTACGGATAGCCAGAGTGGCCAAATTACCTCAAACATGTTGTAAGGGTTTGAATAGTAAACTATAGGGTCAACGTTTTATTTTGAAGGTGAGCTCAACGGGTGAGAAATGTTGTGCCGGTTCCGTTTTTTTCCGCTCTGGTTTGCTATGCTAGTAAATACTCTCTTATGAGCGATTCTGTTGAAAGAGTTAAGAGTTTGTAAGGCGTGGGTTACGGCGACAGTAGCCCGAAAATAATACTGATAAATGAGCAACCAGAGAGGCTGAGTCATTACAGTATAATTGCTGATTTGAGCCAATACTGTTAGAGTCCAGCCATGTTTGCCCTGATAACTGATAACTCCACGGTGCGTGATCCATGTGATCTTCAGTAGATGCAATTATATCATAAATTTAGCTTAACATGATAGATTTTTTTTTCTCCTCTGGACAAGAAATATACGATATGGGCCACCTCTAGATGACAATTAAATAATTTTACATTAATTGTAAATATATAATTAAAAAGTGCCTGTGGGACATTTGATACACCTCTAGCTCTCAAATGTGTGTGTGTGTGTGTGTGTGTGTGTGTGTGTGTGTGTGTGTGTGTGTGTGTGTGTGTGTGTGTGTGTGTGTGTGTGTGTGTGTGTGTGTGTGTGTGTGTGTTAGCTGACGGCTGTAACAGTGTTTCTAAAACTCAGACTGGTAGAGAATAGGCACTAAGGTCAAAGGTTGACAAGAATCAATATATTGTTATGCATTTAATATACTGATTTACAGTATGTTTATAATTTCTCAAGGCAGCTTGAAGTAAGTTAACTTGTAAATATTTCACAGGAGGAAAAATATCGAGATATGTCGATATGTATCGTATATCGGACTTCAGCTAAAAGATATTGAGATATACGTTTTAGTCCATATCGCCCAGCCCTAGTTATAAGTAGTTTTTTCTGTTCACTCAACCAAAATTGGCAGCATGTTAGCAGTAATTATCATCCACCATACAAAGACAGAGGGCTGGCCTTAATGTTTTCACCTGTGTGTTAATTATTTTGTCTGTTATCAAAATGTCAAAATAACAACTGAATAGATTTTATTGAAACTCTTTGCAAATCCTTATGGTGTAAATCTACAACTGACTAATGTTTGGCATTAGCCCCGCTCAAGATGGCCACCGAGGGTGATTGATACTAGCAAACAGAAAATATGGAGCTAAAATCTCATGTGGTGTGGAAATTATAAAATGTGTTGCTGCACATGCTTGCTGAATGGGAACATTTTCTTCAACCCTGTCGCTTGCATTGGCCACAGAGAGGAAAGAGAGGAGGAAATGCTTGGGTAAGAAAAAGATAGTCTCGTCGACATCACATGAGAGATTAGCATTCATGGACTCACCCATCTTGTCTTGTGACTGTTGAGGAAGGCTGTTGTTGTTTTAGCATCCAGGAAAAAGCAGAGCATCTGGGTTAGTAACCATTAGCGTTAGCAACTCTCCAACATGGCACAACCCATTCAGGGTTGTGTTACTTGTGGAGCTAAAACATCAGCGTTGCAGTTTTTAACCAAGAAAAAAAAGTGAACGAAGGCAGTGGAAGAGTCATGCTGCTTTTAGCCAATCAGAGGTGAGATTTTCACATATTTTAACTCATTAACTGCCAGCCGTTTCTTGATCGGAAAGCCCTTCACTGCCAGCGTTTTTACTGTTGTTTTAAGAGTCACAGAACGTTTTGCGCTAGGATGATGTCAATGCCAAAACTAAAAGAGGAGACTCACCTCTTACACCAGGAAGAATCTGTGCGTTTCGGGCGTTATCCGTTCTTTCATAATCCGTTGTCAAACTGTGATCGGCAGAAGCTTTTCAGGTTCGCGCCTCACTCATTTTACAGCAGCCGCCCAAAACGATCTCCTAACACATGGATGTTCTGCTTCCTGATCACGTGACGTGTGATGTACGCGGATGAAGATCGGCTTTACAGCTGGGATGTTTGTTCTCACAGTGCGGGGGCTCGTTCCGACACCAACACCGTAAAAAAAAATGCCAATGACGACTTAATTTGCCATTGGCATTGAACGGTTAGATTTAAAGTGACGACTTTTGTCGTCAATGGCCGTGAAAGAGTTAATGAGAAAGACTCCAGATATCGACATTTTCCCCCGCTCTTTCAGCAAACTCCAACCCCCTAAAACACGAGCGCTCTTTTTCCGCAGAAAACGATTCACAAGGCATTACTTTATACTGGAGACCACATGTGGATTAACTGAATGAATGAGTGAATTTTGCTGCATGGTGCCGCAGTTATTAGCAAGGTTGCAGGTTCGAAACTCGGCTGTGGCCTTTCTGCGTGGAGTTGCGTGGGTTTCCTCCGGGTACTCCGGTTTCCCCCACAGATCACAACACGCCCTATAGGTTATAAATTGTATGTCGCTTTGGATAAAAGCGTCTGCCAAATAAATAAACATAAACACTGTTGTTTAATTGCTTAAACCATTTGAGTCCACCCTTTCTGTCTGTTGGCAGAATATGTCATGAGCAACTGCATGGATGTTAATTAAACTTCATTGTCCACAGCTCATTAAAGTTTGGATTCAATCTAAATCAAGATGGCTGCAACAGCCCATTGAGCTGAGAAAACAAAAAAATAAAGTTACAACTGGTAGTGGCTAACATCCGTCTAACCATGAGCCATACCTCTGCTTTAAACTGTAGTTTGAGATGGAAACCACAGCTATCAAACCTCACAAAACACAAACACGGCCACAACTCGGTACATTTCCCAAATATTCAACTAAGATTTCAATCGCGGAAGATCCTGCAACAGTGCACAAGAATGTACCAAAACATCAGATCACCTTTAAATGAACGTTGAGAGTTAGGTTTTATGATTGATATGATTTATTTTGGATGCGCCTGGGGATTTGGCGTGAGCATGTTGGGGCAATAGCAGGATCTGGGTAAACGTACACAGTGATGAAATGACATCATTGTAGCTTAAAGGAACTGCTGGCTGAGGTATAGTTTTATCGAAGCGGCATTTCCTGAACCGTTTGCATTTAGTTTCCTCCGTCAAAACATTTTCTGAGATGCGTGGAATTTGTTGACCTGAGGAATCCAAATCTGGTTTAGGAGGAGAGTTAGGCATAACAAGAACAGAGAGCCGTTCTAACGCAAAAGAAAAACAAATACTGGTTATATCATGTTTTCAAAACATAGATGAGTCATCTGTGTAAGGCAGAGCAGTATGTGTGTGTGTGTGTGTGTGTGTGTGTGTGTGTGTGTGTGTGTGTGTGTGTGTGTGTGTGTGTGTGTGTGTGTGTGTTTAAGGAAGGATTTAATTTGGCATCTTACACATTTGCTTGTTTTCTTGCACAAAAGCTGATCTTTGAACTGCGAGCCTCCAGGCACCATGAGCTCACTGCGTAACATCTGACTTGTGTTTCAGTGATCAAAACCTACGTGTCGGTATGAAAGCCATGCCGATGAAATCATGTTTAGCAAAGTAAATCAGCAGGCCTCTGGAGGTGAAGAGGGGGCTGCTGGTGGAGAGAGGGACGGGGGGGTCGTGGCATCGGGAGGATGTTCTCTGGTTTATCTGAGGGTGAAAGAGAATATGAAAATCGGCGTCTCTTTGCAAATGGCTTTTATTTGAAGTCCTTCTACCTGCGTTGGTTCAGAGTGTTTTAAAGGTACAGCTCCAACAGCAGGATGCATTAAAACTCAGACTACTCATTCTTCATTCAGCATCTAGCTAAATGTCTGGTTTCTGACATACCACTGGGGAGGGTATTGACTGGCTTGCTCCATCACATCATCGCAAACAAGACAACAAGATGAGCATCAGTGGCAGCAGCCAGCTCGAGCTGAAGCCTCCATGAAACATCTGAGAAGACGTAATGCAGAAGCTGGCAGCCGCTCGGCCTCGTGTGGACTGTCAGAGATTAAAAAAGATGTCAGCAGCAGTTTAGCACAGGCTTAAGTGAGGAAGGCAGCCTCGGTCTGAATATTCTCCGAGTTTCTTCTGTCTGTCAGAAAACTGAGCAGGTGATTCTCATTCGCCCCATCTGTTGGAGGAGGCGGATTACCTTCACAGACTTTCAGACGCGCAATTACGAAGAGCCAGTGCTGATACACAGTGAGTACGAAGCATCCCTATCAAGTGCTGAATGGTGCTCTTTTAGATTCACGCGACTTCCTTCCTTCTGTTAATTTTTGTTACACATAAATCACACAACTTTCAGAGGCGTTTCCCTCTTCTGGTGATGCAGACGTGGTTCTAATCAGAGACTCCACTGAAAGAAAAACAGAAGTAGGCGTGATCATTCTGAGCAGTGCTCTAAGAAAACGTCTGTGTTATAATCCAGGGATTTGAATAATCGGGTTGAAGATAATGGGCTGGGCCGGCCCGGGCGTAAATAGCGAGCATCCACTCATCCTCCCAGCGCTGAACTTAATGAACTTTTAATTGATGCGGTTTAGCACGTCCTTTTGTCGTGCAACTGGAACAAGCCTCTCTGCAGATGGGCCTGTTTTCCTGACTGGCTTCAGATTGGTTTACAGCGGGTCCTAAGTACCATGTAGTTAGTTTCATGTGTCATATAAAATCTGCCCAGGCACGACGACGCCTGCAACTAAAACCTTAAGTGCATCCACAAGAATCACTCTCTGGCTTTGCACTTCCGTCTTAAGGAAGGAGGAGAAATTCAATCACTGCCGGCTTGACACACCGAAGATCAGGCGTGCGTTCCTGCTTTTAGTTGTTGCTAAGAACACTCCGGTGAGGCAGGCTGGGATTTCTGTTTGTCTCAGTAACATCCCTGGAATGACCAGAGTCTCACTCGCGCTATCTGTCGGGCCGTGTTGATGAAAAACAATGCTCAGATAGAGATATACCCCAGTGAGGCGGGTCATCTTTATTCAGCGATTTGCTTATTTAAATCAAATGTGCCTGATCTGTATCTGACACAAATTCCCAACACAGAGCTGCATCAGCTCTGTAAGGGGGGGGGGGGGGGGGGGGGGTCCTCACAAAGCACTTGGCCCACTTTACTTCCCAACAACCATCAGTAACAGCAGCTCAGGGACTGTAACACAGCAATCTGTTAAGGAGATAAATAATCAGATTTGGCACAGCTCTCCCATCTCTCTCTTGGTTTTCATTTGTGTTCCACAAAAAAAAAAAAAAGCTAATTAATTCATTTAGGGTAAAGCATGCAGGAGTAGGAGAGGATCCAGGAAAGATCCAGAGTGTTAACGGGGGATGGAGCTAGTCAAAGACGGAGAGGGGGAACATGAGGGAATAAACCTCAACACTGAGCTAGACGCTGACCTAGCATGATGAGCATCAATCTTCCCACTTTTTCTGATAGATTGAGTCCATCAGAACGGGATGCCACAGCTCTTGACTTGTTTATGGCCCAAAGCATCCCATCAAAGTAAGTGAGCTTGAAAACAACGGGCGAGCAGCCGTCAGATTCATCTGCAGTCGCTCCTGTGTGTCTCCAGTAAAACACCTGGAAGGTTCCCTCTCCATCTGACCAGCTCTTTATGGCCCTTAATGGTATCACTCCTTTAAGAAAAGCTGATGACAAGGTGTTCTCACGGCTGTTACACGATCATTAGAGTGTTCCTCCCCCTCCCCACCTGACAATAACGGGTTTCCTCCAAACTGCTTCCAGTCCTAAACCAGAGCCGGTTCTGTGTTCACCACTGAAACGCCAATAACAAATAACAGTGTAGCATTTTAGTCCGTTTCACACAGATTTGGGTTTTCTGGTGTTGTACCAGTATTGCCAGGCAATAAAAAAGCCAAAAACAGTCAGGAATCAGCTCAGTGGGACATTGGGACATTGGATTACAAGATCCAAGTGGATTATTTTTCCTATAACTAGGGATGGGTACCTTTGACATTTGAATCGATTCGGTACTAATTCCCGGTACCTAGGAATCGATACCGGTACTTAACGGTACTAATTTTAAATACCTTTGAGTGTTTAATATTTTAATTCTCTTTTATAATTAAATATATATTTTTCTCAATATATAACCATATTTGATAAATATTACGATAAATAACATACAACTGTTTCTATTTTAACATCGTCGTTGTAGTTTTATAAGCTGATAATTAAACTGAAGCAAACATCTTTACTGTGAACTAAATTTACTGTGCATCTTCATTCCTTTTGCCGTCCTTTTTAATTTGATATTTCCTACTGGGAAGTTAGAATTTCCAAGGAGAAAGCAAACGCACCATTAGATGATAACAATGGTGGCAATGGAAGCTAACATATCAAGCTACGTTATCTTAAACAGTTTATTTAACTGCTGGAACAGATTAAAATGATGATGCCTCACACTTAGATCGTCACTAGTTTCATCTTCACCCAGTCACCCGTTGCATTTAGTAAAGTGAAGCCAAACTTTAGAGCGTGTTCATGTTCTTCTAGTTGGAAATTTGGAGTTCTGAGGAGAAAGCGAACGCACCATTAGCGGAACGGAGGCTAACATATCAAGCTAACGTTATCTTAAACATTTTATTTACCTACCGGAGCAGATTAAGATGAAGATGTCTCACTTACATCGTTGTCGCTGGTTTCATCATCACCCAGTTACCCATCACATTTAGTGAAGTGGACCCAAGCGTTAGCGTGCGTTCTTTCTACCATGCTGCTCTGTTTACAACTGGCTCGCAGCGACCGACGACATAACGCTCTTGCGCATGCGCAGCTGTCTAGGCAAGTTCTCGTTATGAAGGACGGGTACCGAAACGAGGTACCGTTTCAATTGCATGAATCGAGTCGGTACTATGGAATTCGGTCGGTACCTTAAAAAGTACCGAATTCGGTACCCATCGCTACCTATAACAGATTATTGTGGCCACAAACCAGCAAAGGTGAAACTGAATTTACGCTTTTGACTTCATGAAATTGTTTTGTTTTGCATTTCATTTAGCGGTCTAATGCGATTGGGTGTTTTTGAGGTAGAAAATGTGGATTCTAGCATTTAGGTTTGCATATATTGGTGAATATGAAGCATGTTTTTTGGAACAACTTTTTGCTGGAAGTGCTTGTGGACCTGGTACCGTGTCCATTGGGCTCAAGTTGCGTGATGCATAAGAATGGTAATGTGGCTAACGCATCTGAAAAATGACTTGTTCCCCACCAAAAAAAATGTCACCAGCCGTCCTTGCTTTTAACAGAAAAGATCATTAATTAGTGTTTACAAACATGCACTGTTGTTTAAGGTGTCTGCAGAAAGGAGACAAATCCAGTGGTCTTTATTACACTGTCTCCCTACACTGTGATCCTTTACAGAAACTCCAAACCCAACAGACAGGGGGTCATTCAGGAAGAGAGGTTTATTTGTTGTAACTCATGGTACTGGGTTAGTTTTCCAACTATAAAAATACGAAAAGATTCTTTTTTTTGTTTTTGTTTAAACAACCAGCTCTAGCGTCAGCCCAGGTCACACCCAACCAGCTCAGTGGCCTAGTGGTAGACCCGGTTGGGTCAGACTTTAAAAGTGGGACCCAATGCCTCCCTGCTTGACACCCAGCTCTAAGGGGTTGGATCGGGGGGTTAAACCACCAAATAGTTCCAGAGCGCGGTCGTGTCCGCAGCTCACCGCTGACAGTGTGTGTGTGACAAATATGGGACTTTAACTTTAACCTTGATTCTGACCACAGCTTTTACATATACAAGAAAAACTTAATGTCCTGAAAAGGGAGACGCCCTACGAAGTCTTCACCTGTCTCCTTTTTCACTGATGTAGCTCATTTGGTATAAATTCAGTCGTTTACCACAGTTTAAGGAGCTCTTCAGCCGTCAGCTCCTCACAGTACTCATGTTCACTGATTCCCAGCACACTCCACATTTCAATATCATTTTAATACAGAATTAACAAACAAGCCTCCTTGTAAAGAGTTAGGAAAAAGGACATCTCTTTAAATTAAAACCCATCGTCACCTTCGCCAGTCCACACGTTTCCTTGTTAAAAACTCATTATAATTGGTCGGCTGCCATCTATTTATTAGCTGTATCAAAACAGAGGTCTTAATGTGAATGCATAATTCATAATTGAAGAAAAAAATCAGATTTTTGAAAGAGGGAGAAAAAATCTGCTAACTGCATTCATGAATGCTCGACTGCTTCCTAATTGCAATGCAATTATCACGTGTTATGAACAATACGAACTCTTAAGCGAGCAATTATAACACAAGGAAACCCGCACTGACCTTTAAAATTTTCTGCTTGATGTTCAGCTTTACTAACATTGATAACAATGAGATTTTAATCTGAACGTCGGCTTGTTCAATCCCGTGAAAGCGGTGCTCTGTGGTGAATTTCATTTTTTACTCATTTGTTTTTAGATCCATTTTTAAATGACACCAAATGGATTTTGTCCTAAAAGTAATCCCGTGGAGTGTTACGGCACAAATGGACATAATTTTGTATTGAATGCATGCATATGAATGAGATTTTGGAGGCTGGAGGTATCCTCTGGTGGGAACACAACAGTTTGTTGTGCAATGAATCTCCTTATCTGTCCCACTGTCGGAGAGCGCAGGGCTCACGCTGCAGGAGAGGCAGCAGCTTTGTGCTCGCAAGCCGCCAGAAGCACAGGTGGTAGCAATATAGGCCAGTCCCCCAGGCTCTTGTATGTGAAAGTTGTGCCTTGTATAGTGCCTGTGTCCATATGGCTGCCTGTCTAGCTTTCTTAGCAGACACAGCCTCCACACAGGCTGCTCTGTCTCGGCTCTGATTGTGGTTAGCTGTGGTTCTGCGCCTCTCGCCATATGGAAGATGTTGTAAAGTTTGTTTTTCAGGGATGTTCCTGCTATTTAGACTGATTGTACCGAGCCATACGCTCCCCATAGATGCATTCTTGTCAGCCCCTGGTGACATGAATTGGTCAGGAGATAAATTGATACCAGGCGGGGATGTTTACAGTTTCTGCTCAGTGTGAAAGTGGGGCTTTCAGATTGTGTTACAGGCTCCTCCAGGTGGGCTGTGGGATGTGATGCAGCGGGCAGTGGTGAAAACTCTCAGAGCCCCCCCCCCACCCCCACCACCACCACCACCCAGCCATCTTGATCAAAGTGAATTCCAGCACGGCTCAGTGCTGCTAAATAATTACGTATTGATTTGGTTTGGCTTTCACAACAAGAGTTCCCTCATTTAAGACTAGAGCAAGTGATGATCACACAGGTAAACTGACTCCACAAAGCCCAGAGTTCACAGATCAATTAGTAGTCAATATTTCTACGTGAAAACACAATACTGCTCTCACAGGGAGCCCACGGATCAGCACAGGGACCCGTTGTCTCCCACCACGATACAGATTCTAACTTTCTCTTTGAATCTCCCTTCCAGGTCGACGCTGGACGAGCCTTCCCCTAACAGTCACCCGCTCTACGGCCACGGCGTCTGCAAGTGGCCTGGATGTGAGGCCGTGTTCGATGATTTCCATTCATTCCTCAAGTGAGTGAAAGTCCTTGCCGGGTGTACGGTTCTGTCACAGTTTGTCCTCCTTTTGGGTCGATTGCATGTTTTGTGACCCCTGCCAACACAGATGCACCACAGGTGCAGCTGGTTGTTATTCCCGAGCCTGGGTCGGCCCCCTCTTGAAAAGGGCACTGTGGTGGGGTCTCCTTCTGGGAACTGCATGGGCCTCAAATTCCTGTGATAAGTGCAGTTCCCATGGTGACGGGGGCCGTTTTTCCCAAACAAACAACGGTAGGATGTTTATCTGTGGCAGCCCGGCGTGTTTGCCCTTGTCACTGGACAGGCAGAGTGCTTCCCGTTTTACCTCGTGTTTCATGGTTTTCGTCTTCTATAACATTTCCACATATCGGCATCAGCCGCTGTCAAACCTCTTTGCGGGGTAACTCTGTGCAGTCTGGCACGTTTTATTGTTTTATTCTCTGGTTAGAGCCACAGCTCTGGTTTACTAATCAACCCGGTGTGCTCTAGGTAATCCAACACATACCAGCGCCATGGTTACGGAGAGGATGGAAACATCTGTGTTGTGGTAGCAGATCAAGGGCTCACCGTCACCCCGGATTAGCACAACTTTAAACGTGATATGACACAATTCCATTATTCTAAAACAAACACTCGGAACGGAGCTGGAGGCCCTGCCTCAAAGGCTGCTGGGAGTTTTCACTCTTTTTGTTGTTAAAGCCAGAGTCTTACTGGGCCGCAACTGTTGGTGACAAAGCAGCAGAAAGAGTACTTAAGTGTCTTAAAACATTTGTGAGGCGTCTCTATAGCCGTGTTTCCAATACATGAGTTGTTGGAAACTTCTGGGAGAGGAAACATTTAGATGGGATGGCTCAGTCGTCCCAGACCCTTTCAGGACTTTACTAAGATTTCAGCTGCTCGCGAGTCGCCACTGGCTCAGCAGTAAGTGATGTCACTGGTCAGTGCCAGAAGGCGTCCACAGATATTAATATTCTGTCAACGTACGGCATCATTGAATCCGTTCCGGAGAGCAGCAGTGTGATGTAAAAGTGTGTTTGGGATGGTGCCCTGTGACTTAGGGAGCTGTGGGGGGTTTCCGCCACATTTTCCACAGTTTGTAAACGACTATTTCAAAACAGCGCAAATGTTGCTTATTTCCTTTTCCCTCTATTCTGCTTCACCAGCAACTCTTTCTTTGGTGGGAATTTTTTCTGCAACTCTTCAAATTTGACAAATTCCGGTAGTTTGTTATGTATTTAGCAGACGCTTTTGTCCAAAGCGACTTACAAGTGATAATCGGCATGTTGTCCTTCAGACTAACAACAACAACAATAACAACAACTTGACATCAGTCTTGGAGAGGAGGGAACAAGGAGTGGACAGTAGAGAGGGGGGACAGGTGCAGGGAGGGTGCTAGTTAAGAAGGTGCTCTCTGAAGAGCAGGGTCTTCAGGAGTTTCTTGAAAATTGAAAAGGAAGCTCCTGTTCTGGTAGTGCTTGGTAGATCATTCCACATTTGTGGAACGATGCATGAGAAGAGTCTGGCTTGTCCTGAGCGTGGTGTAGGCACTGCTAGCCGACGATCCTGTGATGACCGGAGCGGCCGGGCGGAGACTCAAGCCTTTGCAAGAGGATTCAGGTAGATGGGAGCCGTACCATCTCGGACTTTGTATGCTAGTGTTAGCAATTTGAATTTGATGCGTGCTGCTAGCGGTAGCCAGTGGAGCTCAATGAACAGAGAGGTGGCATCTGCTGATGTAATTTCCTACTGAGTTACAACCAGTCAGTGTGAGTTAATCACAAGTCCCACCCATCAACTCTACCGGGCCATTCTGGGTACCTACCCCTGATCTGGAACTCCCATTTGTTCCTGAAATGGCCCAGAAAACGCTCCTTTGGGCCGGCCCGCTGAAGTGGAGACACAGGGATGCCGGGAAGTTCGGAACAATCACCCTGAAGTTCCAACAGTGGAAACGGGCCCACAGTGCTCCTCCGTACGTGGCTTTGGACAAAAGCATGAGAACATTGACTAAACATAACTAATATTGTTGTGTGAGTTATAGAACTTTACCGTTTTGGTGTTGAAATCGTGAACATCAGTGTTCACGCACGAGGGATCCTCCTGATGTCCTCCTGCATGCAGAAGGTGCCACCACGCTAACTAAAACCAGTGTACTCTAGTTAGTAAAAATGCAGAATTTCTGTGGGGATTGGTCAATGTTTCACGTTTGTCCCAACTGTGAACGAATTGTGACATGTGTGCTAATTTCCTTGTGTTTTTTCACTAAGTCTCTTAATTTGTTGACGTCAGAACATCAGGTCATTTCTCTTTGGACGGTGATCGTTGCTGGTGTACAGACCAATTTAGCCTGATTTGAAAGAAAATTAGCAGATTTACTTACTGTTTGTTATCTTAAGTAGTTGCAGCCCAGCGAGTGTTTTTGTTCAAATAAAAGAGCGTATTCTTAAAGGCAACCGTCCTTTTACACGCAGTTATTAAACCACACACGTATTCACACAGAGACGTGCATTCTTTAGATTTGGGCGCGCCTGCTTAAATCTATCACTATTTATTGTGTTCTGACGTCGCCTCACCCTTTTGTTTATAGAACAGAGGAGAGTTAAAGTCCGTGTGCCCGGTGGAGCTCGGGCTGAAAAACAAAAGTCTCTAAGTGCACTCAGCTCTGTTTTTACAAGTGTTTTTATCGTGGCAACATCTTGTTTACTTTAGTTTCCTGCTCAAACTGCTTGGAACATGTTAAGAAAACATTCGAGGAGAGTCTCCACAAAGCTGCCTTTGTTCAGCGGCAGGTGAGAGTGTGAGCAGCTCACCAAGGTGTTAACTCTCCAAACCTTAAGCACTTCCACATGAAACCCACCCACTGATACTGCAGGCCTCCGACGGGATTCCAAAATAAAAACAAGGAGCACATCAGACATTACAGCGCGCATGTGTGTGTGTGTGTGTGTGTGCGTGCGTGCGTGCGTGCGTGCGTGCGTGCGTGCGTGTGTGTGTGTGTGTGTGTGTGTGTGTAGTCAGCAGAACACAGTGTCCTGTGTACCAGGGAGACAGAAAGGTGAGGAGGACTCTAATGTCTAACAGATTTCTGTTGCACACGCCAACAGCAACAACCGACGCTGGAATGAAGTGTTGTTTTAAACCGCCTGTGTATTTATTTTATCTTTGAAAGAAAACACGACGTACCTACACAGACTCTCATGATAAATACAAAACACCAAACGCGGTTCCTTGTTTTTGGGTCCGCTGATGGATGGGGCAGGGTGGGTTCACGGGGGGTGGGGGGATGGGGGGGGGGGGGGGGGGTATTTTCACGGGGTCAAGACCTCTGGCTCCCTCGTCCAGGCAGAGGTCAGAGCCAGCGAGTCACTGCAGTGCCCTCTAGTGCTGCACCAGAGCAGCTCTCTCCCATCAGCACAACCAGCTAAAAACGTCACATAAACCCAGTTAAACGTGCGGATGTGTGCGTTTTAATCCCAGCAGAGAGGACGATAAACCCTTACACTGTGTCCTTAACTCCAACAATCAGAACGAGAAGGAAAAATAATAAAAAACGTCCAGGCAGAAGGACTGGTGAGTGTCTGTTTAAGGTGTTTTATTGTGGTAATTTGCATTAGCGCCTGTCATCCTGCCGGAGAGCTTTTAAAAGTGGCTTCATTTGAAGTCCAGAAAGTGACACATGCCAACGTTCGTAGCCTCTCTCGGCGTCAGTCCCCCCGTTTCCTCTGCTCCCGTGTCCAGACGCTCCTCTCAAGGCTGCATTAGGGCCATTTGAATATTTCATTTCCTATTAATTATGCACTGTGACTCTCCATGTCATTAGAAGAAATAAAGTGGAATGTAACAAAGGATGAAAAGGAGCAGGGCACACGTCTGGTGCGGGCAGAGGTATTCCGAAGCTGCTCACGTAGGCCGTCCTTCGTAGAAAATCCGTCTGGGCGGGTTAAATGGAAGTTGAAACGTCTTTACCTATTATTTTCCTCTTTGAAATTTAGTAAGATGTCCTGAAATGTTTACCGGCTTCATTTTCCGACTCACTTAATTAAATGGGCGTTTATTTGATTTGAACAATAGAAAGCCCAGAGAATTGATTTCAGCGAAGGGCCGCGCTTTCATTTCTGCCTCTTTTTTTTTTTTTTGCTGCAATAATTAACTTCAAGCGGCGAATGTGTGGCGCCGACATTTTGAAGCGCGCCTTGTGAAAACACAAAAGGGAGACTTGACCGAAAATGTTTCCCATAAAGATTTAAATCATTCACCTCAAGGTTAGACGAGCCGCGGTCAAACAGGAGCCTTCGCTTTTCAAGCAAGCTCTGTCATTTTTTTCCTCCCTTTCACATTTCCGAGTGTAAATGTGGCGTTTAATGCACGAGTGTGTTGTCTGAACATAAAGCAGCGGCATCAAATTTATCGGGCCATCATAAAGTCATGGCTGCCACCGCGCCGTCGCAGGTCCACGCTGGCCATTTCTGATTTGCAGCAAATGGCAGAAAAAGGTGTGTATGAAGAAGCAGACGCTTTCCTCTCATCTGCACACACACACACACACACACGCGCGCGCGCGCGCCTGGTGACAGTGACCTACATGGTCACTGCAGATGTGATATAATTTATGATATATATAATATATTGGATCCATTAGCGAGCATAATGAAGTAGTGAAATGAAAGGGTATTTGTGAAATCAGTTCAAACATCCTGCTCGGATTATGATTAAATGATTAATGAAATGCCTCTGCATAAGCATTTTCAAACAGTAATTCAAGCAGCAGCTGATAAAATTCCTCCAATCATATTTCCTTCACTCGTGAACCTTATCTCCACCATTTTCTATAAATCACAGGGAGAAACCCCGCTCTGCTACCTGGCCAGCTACTTTAGATTAGTTAGAAACCAAAAAGAGAACATCTTTCCTGAATAAAATAATCGTGCGTAATTATATCCATAATTCAAGCTGGTGACAGATCCCATCTCCGTGTCCTGTTGTCCTCTACGTCTCAGCTTGGCTCTAGTGGAGTTCCTTTAATTTTGATGATGAAATTAACAACACACAAACCAGAAAAAGGAGCAAAGTCGGGGGAGTGGTGTGTGTGTTTGTCCTCCTGTGGGTTTTATCAGTGAGCTGTGGGAGCGCCCATCCTCATCATGAAATATCTGCAGCAGCGATGCCTGAAGTGGACTCTGTTGTTTAGATTTTTTGTTTGATTTCCAGGCATCTGAACAACGAGCACGCCCTGGACGACAGGAGCACGGCCCAGTGTCGAGTGCAGATGCAGGTCGTGCAGCAGCTGGAGCTGCAGGTATTGTCCCCGCGCTTGTTTTGGTCCAAATATTTACACATCTTCCTTTGACACTTCCTCAGAGTCTCCTTAACCCCTCCCCACCCCCGTCCGTCCGTCTGATATCAGCCACGGGGCTCACACACACACACACACACACACACAAAGAGGAAGGGAGAAGAGGGGTTCTGCAGAATGAAATAATTTTGCACGTTTGCTAGTAACCAGTCATTAAAAATGTGTTACGTATGCATGACAGACAGGAAAAGATATATGAACGGCCCGGGGCTAAGTAGAGAAGATAATTACATTTTGAATTTTACTGGGTTTTAAAGTTATTTATGACTTTTAACTGTTTGGCTCTGCCGATAAAACACTCTGTGAAATGACTCTGCAGCACAGCGAGGACGGGCGGGCGGCGTTTAGTGAGCTAGAGCAACAGAAGGGTTATTCTAGCAGGGCTACTTTTAATACGTTAATGAGTTAAAATACATTTGCATGTGTTTATTATTAATAAAAGTGTTGAAAAATAGGTTCAAATAGATCTTTAGCTGACCTGGCCCACCTATCCTGCTGCGACAGTCGCAAAGTGAAAACAGGAAGGGATGAAGTCCTGATTTCATGCTTCACACGCCCGTGTCTAAACGACTTAAAATAACTGATAAAAGAAAATAAAAGCGTTACAGTTTGCAGGAAGTTCACCTTAAACAGTGAGATTTTAGCCGCTCCGACGTTACACCGTTACTGCGTCTTGTTGTTTCTGCTCTGGTGGTTTATCATCCAGAGGGATTGGGGAGGCTTTACCAGACACACACACTTCCTCTGCATGCAGCTTGTCACCATAATTCAAGCTGGCAGCCAAGACGGCTGCGACTTTAGACAGGTAGACAGGAAACCGTCTCCTTACAAGTTAGAAACACTCAGCTGAACACTTACGTACTCCTTTTAACAACAAATAACTTAATATTCCTCAAAAAATTAATATATCAGATTTTGTGTGTGTGTGTGTGTGTGTGTGTGTGTGTGTGTGTGTGTGTGTGTGTGTGTGTGTGTGTGTGTGTGTGTGTGTGTGTGTATGTGTGTGTGTGTGTGTGTGTGTGTGTGTGTGTGGGTGGGTGGCATGTATCATAAAGAGCATTTTTTTCCTTCTTTCTCATTATAGCTAGCAAAAGACAAAGAGCGTCTCCAAGCTATGATGACGCATCTTCATGTCAAGTCCACGGAGCCCAAAGCCACCCCGCAGCCGGTGAGCAGCAGCCCTGTCATGCATCTCTCTCTCTCGCTCTCTCTCTCGCTCCTCCACCCATCCCTTTGTTTGTCTTAATTGGCACACATGTATTCATTAATCCCTTCCTTCATCTTCTTATTTATCTGCTAAATAAAAACAGCTGTTCTCTTGAGGGACGCAGTAAATATAGTTTGGACCACATCTGCTGACATCTGAGATTCAATTTGGTGTCTGTGATGAACTGGATGCACACGCTGTAATGGCCGCCGTCTCTGCCTCAGAGAACCTGAGTCTGTTTCAGCAAAAGGGGAAAAATCAGAAAAGACAACAAAAATATGTAAAAATAATAAGACACATCGCACTTTAAATTTGAGTAAATTAAAGATTTTTTCTACCCAACAAGGTCAACATAAAACATTATTGTAATAAAAATAAAAAGTGTCCAATTAAACTCATAAATATATCAATGTCTTTGATAAATGAGAAACTGAATATAATAATTATTGTAATTATTTAGTGAATAAGGTGGCTGGTTTAAATACAGCTGATTTATTATAATTGCTATAATAATCATGTCTGATCAATATAAATGTTTCTGTCCACAAGTTAGGGATCGGCTCGTTTAAATCTCATAATCATTTTTGCTTACAATCACTTTTTTACCCGATGTGTTTAGAATCGGTGCCAGGATCATTAACGTTGATGAGATTAGTTTAGCTGAACTGAAATTTATTTTTCACACCGGTAGAAACTGAAACTGTGTTAGAATTTATTATCTTTTGGACTCACTCCAAACCTGCTAGGGCTGGAAAAGTTAATTAATACTGAAATCATGAATGATTGGTAAGGTTTCTCCTTCAGTTGGGAAGAAGAGCTTCTATGGAAGCATCTGGAGAAATATCTTTGGAGACCATCCCACAGAGCATCGTCATGAAAATAGTTAAAAAATAAAACACCAACTGTGTGTTTTGCCCTCGTTCTGCCAATAACTTGCACGAACCTAAAAAAAAAATAAAAACAGGATGCACAAACATATCGTAGGAAGAGGGTGACGACAGCTCAGAATAAAACATAAAAACACGAGCTGAATGTAAGTATGTATTTTTTTCTGTTTGTTTCTGAAATAGAAATGCGGGTTTCGTTAAAAACACAAACTCGGTGTGGTCCCTGTTGTCTACAGGAGCACCTAAACGCCTGCTCCGTGTGGTTGTGTTTAAGACTCGACCTCGCCGTCATATTTCAGTCAGTGTGACAGTTCATTCAGACAGCCAAATGAGCAGATACGATTTTACTGCAGGGCATTAATGTAAAATCACACACACACATAAATGGACAATATACATGCAGGAGTCTTGTCCCTGCGCTGTTTGGATCATTTATTTACAGTCGGAGGAGGCTATTGACACCCAGAGGCTGCGTGTGCGCTCAGCGCAGCCAGTCAACAGAAAGCGCCTGGAGATGCTGAATGACAATAAGCTGCCTGTTAAAAGTGCGCCCGTGTCACACACTCTGATTGTGTAGATTAGAGCGCAGAACGAGGGCTCTGACACGGGGACATTTGTATATGAAAAGTGGTCGGGGCGGCAGATAGCATCTTGAGTTTGCTAGCTCTGCTCTCTCCCCTGGGCTCACGAGAATGGCTGTGTCAGGGCTCAGCGTTAACGCTCTCAAGGGGGCGAGCTGGGATTTTTATTCTAATAAATAGACTCCCATTCTCCAGGGCAGTTTAGCCCGCTGCAGTTGGCTGTGATGAAAATGTCTGAGATTGTCTGGGTGAGTGGAGGTCAGGGCCCACAGTCCCGTTGAGGCATTGAGGAGATTGCATCAGAAGTAGGCAGAATAAAATCATCCTCCCGAGTCGGAGACGACCTGGAACAGAGGCGCTCTGAGAGCTCCGGTGCTGCCGCGCTCTCACCCTGGGATGTAGAACAAGAAGCAGCTCAGGTGAATTAAACACACCTTCATAAATAAACAGCTTCTTCCCTCTCTCTGAGCCAGTCGGGGGCGGGGCAAGATGAAAACAAAATGCACCACATTAGTGATGCGTGTTTCTGTGTATGTGTGTGTGTGTGTGTGTGTGTGTGTGTGTGTGTGTGTGTGTGTGTGTGTGTGTGTGTGTGTGTGTGTGTGTGTGTGTGTGTGTATGTGTGTGTGTGTGTGTGTGTGTGTGTGTGTGTGTGTGTGTGTGTGTGTGTGTGTGTGTTTGTGTGTCTGCACACAGTGTCACTAAGCATTCTTGTCAGAGATCTGACCTTTTGCTCCATACATAATTAAGGAGGGACTTTTTGTTTATTTTCTTTAGCAGCTTGCGAGTCAAAGCCAGTATAATTAGATCACCAATTACCATTTAATTAATTTCAGTGTGAAGTCTCATTTTGTCTGCGAACTGCAGTGAGCCCAAACGGTGAGGCAGACAAAGGCAAGGCTATTACCAGCCTGTCTGGGCCATTGTCGGAGCCTCGCTGTGTTTACGGCCAGGGAATACGGATGAAACATGAAACAAAGCCCGCTAATCCGCAGGAAGAGAAGTCAACATGGCAGCCTCATTCACTCCCTAGCATTGTGTCAGAAACATGCACGTGTAATTTGTTTTCTTTAGAATAGCACGTCTCCTGCTGCTTTGGGCGAAGATGCAGAGTGCATCTCTGCAGAAGTCCAAATGATTTGGGCAAACTCTGCCAAAGAGACGAGTTCAGCCTCCAAAGTGTAAACGGCCGTGTGAGGACGTGCCCGTGTCTGTCACAAGTGGAGAGTTACTAAACAACATGGACTGGTTGTGAGAGAGAGGATTGCTGCTGCTGTGATAGAAATTCTGTAAAAGAAAATAAAATTACGTAGATTCTGGTCCCTAAAAACCCCGACATCTGATCCCTGCTCACCAACATGTGATGTTTAAGTCCCTCCCCGTCTTTTACCCCTTTTCTCCTCTCACTCTGAAGTCGTGTTTAATTTGGAAACTGGCCTCGTTCAGCAAATTAGCAATTAGAACAAGTTTGCTGGAATATGTATTTGTGTCATTAGTTTTCCTGCCAATTAATAGCCGGAGCACCGGGGTCAGGCTGGAATTTTCCACTTGACTGCCGCTCCAGTGTGGAGGCTTGGCGCTTGGCTCAGAGCCGCCGCGGCTGCCGGGAGCCACGCTGTACCTTCGGAGCACTCGTCATAATTAGTTTACCTTGTAGCCATTATTTCTTAAATCCTTCTCTCGCCTTCGCCGACCCGAGCGCTCCCCGCTCACGGACTTCCGCGCCGAAACCAAAGACTCTCTTCAAAGTGCTGTCTGTAGGTCCGTCCTTACACTGGCCATCGTGACCCCAATGATGGGGTCAGCAGGCAGAGTAGTTAATCCCCAGATCACCTCTAATTAGGGTCCTCACAACAGTTTCAGCGTGTAATTAGTCCAGACTGGCTTCTTTAATGGGAGCGCGGCTCCGCGGCGGTAGGGGAGAACCATTTTAAACACAACACCCCTCTGTCTTTCTTCAGCCCACGGTAGTGGGACTGTGTGTGTGTGTGTGTGTGTGTGTGTGTGTGTGTGTGTGTGTGTGTGTGTGTGTGTGTGTGTGTGTGTGTGTGTGTGTGTGTGTGTGTGTGTGTGTGTGTGTGTGTGTGTGTGTGTGTGTGTGTGTGTGTGTGTGTGTGTGTGTGTGTGTGTGTGTGTGTGTGCCGAGGCCTCGGAGAGAAACAGGAACCAAGCCAGCCGGCTGGGATGGAGGAATAACACTCGTCTAAAGACGAGTGTTGCCCGTTAAAGCATGACTCATCAAATTTACACCGGCTGTGGTTTTAGGGTCTGATGGTGGCCCATTCTGATTAATCATTTGGCTAAATAATGTAAAATATAAAAGCTTCTATGTGAAGAGCTGTAACTGCTTTAGTACACAGCAGTCGTGAGTTAGAGGACCACAAATGTTTTCTAAAAAAAATAAAACAGCAAAAACTCTCCATACTAGGACTTACGGGTTATATATGTGAGACAAAATAAATCATCTATAATATGTTTAAAATGTGATCAGAGAACTAACCCTCTGACTGGTTCCTCCTCAGCTCAACCTCGTGTCCAACGTCACATTGTCCAAGTCGGTCCCGGAGGCGTCCCCTCCTCTGAGCCTCCCGCAGACCCCCACCACCCCCACAGCACCGCTCACGCCCCTGTCCCAGACCCACTCCGTCATCACCGCCAACAGCCTCCACGGCGTGGGCCCCATTCGACGGCGCTACTCAGAAAAGTACAGCATGCCCATCTCTCCAGGTAACCTCCACCTGCAGCACAGACTCCTACCAGCAAACAGGCAGCTGCTGCCGTCACTGACAGGTTGTTTGTTTTTGTTTGTTTCCTGTCTGCAGATATCAGTCAGAACAAAGAGTTTTACATGAACGCAGACGTCAGGCCGCCGTTCACATACGCCTCACTAATAAGACAGGTGAGGAGCCCCTCTGCTCCCTTTCTTGTTTTTGAGCACGTTTAACAGAACGGTTTATAATCCGTGTTCGGATGGGTGCAGGAAGGCGTTCAGGCCTCCAAACGGGTCTGATTAGGCTTTTCGCTCACTGCAATTGCTACAGAATTCATTTCACACAACAGTAGGGATGAACCTGTTTTAAGATGGCCAGTCAATTATCGCCCGACCGCAGTAATCTGGGATCTCAGGAATTAATCTGAGCCGTCCATAATTGCCGGCCTGTAATCTGCCTGAGAAATGTTTTTGCTTGCCCTTCATTTACACCCACAAAGGAAAATGTATTCAGATCTGCCATTTTGAATTAAAAGTGCTTCCCACTTCTGCAGGCGGAGTAGGCCGGCATTGTGTGTTTGTCTCAGGGGAGCTCACACAGACCTACTTACTCGTGTCAATTATTAATCACCGTGCAGCGGGCAAAAGTGTAAATGTTTGTTTCTGTCATCCAGGCCATCCTCGAGTCTCCAGAAAAGCAGCTAACACTAAACGAAATCTACAACTGGTTCACACGAATGTTTGCATATTTTAGGCGCAACGCAGCAACATGGAAGGTAACCGGTTTCTGTGGTTCTTTTTTCTGATGCTCTGGAAGATAACGGAGGTGTTTTGTTGAAGTCGTGCGGAGTAAAACGAGAGTTTGTATAAAAACACAAACCAGGACAGGCTTGAGTTTGTTTTTGTAAACATCAAAAGAGAGGAGTAGAAAACGCCGTCTCCTGCTAGTTTGTGGGGATGTTCTGTTGGTGGGTGGCACGCACACACACACACACACACACACACACTCACACTCACACACACACACACACACCCAGCATCGCCACCCTGCTCCCAGACGTGCTGACAGCTCCTCCATAGGGGCACGCTGGTGTTCTAAACACCGGGCTCCTCTCCCACTCTCCTGCTCTTACAATAATGAAAGGATGATTTATGACGGCCTCCTCTCATGCCTTCATTTCTGTTTTCAAATTCAACCTTAAAACCAAAAAGCTCTCGTTCTGCTCGCTGATTATATTTGTGTTTCTTATCAGATTCTGTTCAAAAGAGATGACATGAAATGAGATGTGATGTTTTATTTCCACGGAAGCCAGTAAATATTCACCACCTGTTGGAGTTTTCAAGAGTTTTTGATGTTTTCGTCCAGTGCAGGGGTCTGCAACCACCGTGTCCCGCTAAATATCACTCATACAGACCAGAGGTCTGCCTCGTCCTTCAGATTAATGTGAAGCTGTGCAACACTTCCTGTTTCTACTTATCTGTGTGTGTGTGTGTGTGTGTGTGTGTGTGTGTGGGGTGTGGGTGTGGGTGTGGGTGTGGGTGTGGGTGTGTGTGTTTGTGTGTGTGTGTGTGTGTGTGTGTGTGTGTGTGTGTGTGTGTGTGTGTGTGTGTGTGTGTGTTTGTGTGTGTGTGTGTGTGTGTGTGTGTGTGTGTGTGTGTGTGTGTGTGGGTGTGTGTGTGTGTGTGTGTGTGTGTGTGTGTGTTTAACTGCAGGTTGTAATGTTTCGTGTCCGACTGGTACTACTTAGTCCGTAGAAACTGACCGTAGCATGGCTGAACTTTAAAATGTTGCTGGTGGTCAGCTTAACTAGAGACGTCGTCCGGGGCCACGCCCCCGTTGAACAGCTGAAGAGCCCCTCGTGGCCCCAGAGCCACAGGTTGCAGACTCCTGATGGCGTTTGTCTTCTTTCTCGTGACCACGTGCTTCCTGTACTGATAGCAACCTCTCTTCTCTCTTTGTCTTCACGCCAACTGCAGAATGCAGTCCGACATAATCTTAGTCTTCACAAGTGTTTTGTGCGAGTAGAAAACGTAAAAGGTGCGGTGTGGACAGTCGACGAAATAGAGTTCCAAAAGAGACGGCCTCAAAAGATCAGCGGGTACGTCTGAGTGTCTGTCTCCGCTGGCTGATGGGAAGAAGCTGCTGCTGCCGCCGCCGCTGCTGCTGCTGCTCCACTCCATTGTGTTTGTGCCATGATGTCTGCTTGCTTCCGCCCCCCCCCCCCCCCCCCCCCCCCCATAACCCATAATGGCTTATTTTCATGTTGACCCTCTCTCCCCCCCCCCCCCCCACCCCCTGTCTGTCTGTCTGTCTGCTGATCACTGCATCTGCATCTGGCTGCCCCCCCTCCCCGCTTTCCCAGGGTGCCGTTCGCACCAACCTTTCCCTGCATAAGTGCTTTATGAGAGTAGAGGATGAGTTTGGGTCCTTTTGGACCGTTGATGATGAGGAGTTTAAGCGCGGCCGACATGTACAGCGAGGCCGCCCTCGGAAAAACGCCGCCGATGAGCGCTTTGACCAGCTACAGTAAGCACCTCCGCCTGCACCCCCACCCATCTCCCCCAGCATGCTTTTTGTGTTAAGCTCCCCGTCCATCATGCTTTCACACCTCCACCCCCCTGTTCTTCCTCCTGACAACAGCTGTGTGGGTTTGTAGAGTGATTGAACATCTTAGAGGCGCGGCCTTAATCTCCACATTACTACACCAGTAAATGTGTTTAGTTCAAAGTGCATCGATTTCCTTTTATGAAACCCGATCCTGTGTGAATGCTAGGTGAGGCACCGGTCTGTGGGTGTAACTTAATTGTTGTGTTTGCAGAAGTCCAGCCCTGGTGAAGAACATCCAAGCGAGCCTGGGCTATGGTCCTGCTCTCTCTGCTGCCTTCCAGGTAAAAATAACACCTGGCTTCATCTACAGCTGCCCCTCTCTCTCTCTCTCTCTCTCCTGGTCTTTGAAGACTGATGGGCAGCTGAGAACACGCCGACAACTTTCTTCCGTTTCACACTCAGTGCTTCGGGTTTTTGCTTTTCAGGCTTCAATGGCAGAAAACAACATACCTCTATACACTACTGCTTCCATCGGAAGTCCCACGCTCAGCACCCTGGCCAACGCCATCCGAGAGGAGATGAATGGAGCGATGGACCATGGAAACAGCAACGGGAGTGACAGCAGCCCGGGACGCTCGCCCCTGCCAGCTATGTGAGTGGCGCACACGTTTTCTGTCACGGGTAGAAAGACGCTGCTTCATCTACAAGAGCCTAAGCGGTTTCCTCCCAGAGTGCTTCAGGAGGATCTGATCTGTGGCATCAGCCCAGGCAGAAAGGCCGTCAGAATGGCGATGAGTAAAAGGGAGCGGGAAGATGGAGTGTCAGGTCAGGGTCAGTGCTGAGGCAGGAAACTCCTCCTCCCATAGTCGCAGCAGGCAGGAACCCCCGTGTTATTCTGCCAGCAAGTTTATGAACTCTGCTTCACGTGTCGGAGCCTCGCCATAATCAGCATTCCGGTTTGTTAAAATATTTACTGAATCTCAGAAGGCAGAGTGACAGAGCCGCCGGCTCCGAGGCGGCGCAACACGAGCTGCAGCACATTCGGGAACGCCCGCGAGCCCCCGAAAGAAAAACAACACAAACGCAGGATTAGTCTGGAGAACATCATCCAGCATCGTCTTGTTGGAAAGTTGTGGCGGGCCTGGAAACCACAGCTCCCCGTTCACTTGTTGTATAGGAGCGTCCGCTAAGTTGTTTGAAGCCTAAAATAATATCGCACACGCTGCATCGCTTCCAGATGTGGGGGCAGACCTCCGACGAGCCGCGCGGGGAGAGCCAGCGATGGCCTCCTCGCGTGGAAGAGCTGCAGGGAAGACTCTACCTTAAAACAAAAAAAATGTAAATGAAAAAAGAGGAAAGGTGGTGTAATCAGCTTCTGGCCAAACAGAGAAGCGCCGTGCGTCATGACTGAGAACATGGCTGCCAGCGTGGCTGTGGAGCAGGAAAGGCAGAGGCAGGATGGGCGTGCTGGCCTAGAGGCCGCTCACTTCAGGCTCGTTCTACCAGCTCAGGATCCTGATCACCCCCTGCTGCTTCAGCCCCTGCCTCTGTCACACGGGTCGCCAGCTTGTTTCCACATGGAGCAGCTGCCGTAAACCGGAGCTGCTCTCCTGGAAACCAGGTATCCAGAGAAGGTTAGTTAGCAGCAGCATGTCTGCCCTGCACGTGCAGAGTCACTTTGATGTGAAAAATGATAGAGAAGCTGACTTTACTCCTTCTTATAATCTACACCCAAACATGTCAGCTCATTTGCATACGAGTGCCTCCGTCACAATAGTGGTGGAGGGTAGCGGGAGTGTG